GATCTAAGCAGTCGTCAGCACTGCTCTAGGCGCCCGATCTCGAGCCGTACAGGTCTGGTAGACGATCGGCTGTTGTGGGTGGCATCTTTACTAGGCGGCTCTGCAGTGGACTCACCCTGTCACAGCAGACAAACGGAAGCCATCAAACACTGAACAGAAACGAGTCACGTGTTCATCCTCTCCACGAACGGCAACACACCATTAGTAAGTAATGGTGCTCTACTACCGTGTGGTAGCCATACATTGTGTATTTGATTTTCTATTGATTCTCTGGCCAAAGACAACTCATTTTGTAGGTTCATACGGTCGCGAAAACGAAGAATAATAACTGGCTAAATCTATTTCACATATGATTGTCTATGACACTTACTTGCTTTCAGCCCTGCTGGATGAAGCGATCACCATGCTGATTAATATTCTCGTGAAAAACATAAATCGATATGACATGGTTGGTGAATTCGCCACACACCATGTCCATTCCATTCATACGGTTGGGTTTCGGATGTAGCAGCATCCTCACAAGAGTGGAGCGCGGGGCTTTGAGTTTGGCGTATCTTAGCTTGGGCTAGCTTTCATTTCCACTGCTACAAAACAAAGTTATAAGGTGTTTTTTAAATTTCGAATTGGTATTGCCCTGAATACTGTTTTCAAACCATTACTGTTGTAGAGATAGCAAGGTGGCTTTTGTTTCGTGGTCAAGTGAATTGATCTGGTTGATTAAACGTGTTTGGGATCTGCAATGGGTGGGAACGTCCCCGCTCTGGTTCGGAACTCGTGTTCAAATCTACCGCATGTGCCGGGATACCCGTTTCGACTGTAATCTACCCAATGCCTCCATTGCAGATAACGATGATACGGTTCTTGTGCTACAGTGCGACCTAGCCTCAGAGCTAGTCGGCTCTCCACAGCGATCGGGAGCCCAGCCTCAAAACGCCTGTCTGCTTCTGTCTAGATGTCTTCAAACTTCCAGGTGTAGTAGTCATGTCGCATATCCGTGGCCGACTCTGCTCAGATATGAGGATGTATATCGGGAATCAACATGAATTTCGGAGGATAAATTACACATCAACTTAACCCATGAATCATCAAGTAAACTCTAAAGTGAACTGTCCGTACCTTCTAGACCTGGTTGCTCTTCAGCGCACAAAATCATCTCTATCGGGTAGCAATTGCCCTTGGAGAATAGGATCTGTGGNTCAAAACGCCTGTCTGCTTCTGTCTAGATATCTTCAAACTTCCGGGTGTACTAGTCATGTCGCATAGCCGTGGCCGACTCTGCTCAGATATGAAGATGTATATCGGGAAGCAAAATGAATTTTGGAGGATAAATTACACATCAACCTAACTCATGAATCATCAAGTAAACTCTAAAGTGAACTGTCCGTACTTTCTAGACCTGATTGCTCTTCAGCCCACAAAATCACCTCTATCGGGTAGCAATTGCCCTTGAAGAATAGGATCTGTGAAGCTGAAGACCTCCGACCTCAGACAATGTCTGACAATGCCCCCAGCCACGGATTTGTCTCCTCTTGAGGCCCCCATCCAGGGAGGCGGGAATAACCAGCGCAGCTGAGTTTGCTGGTAACGGCCTTCATATTTGTTGCCAAGTCATTGACCTCCCTTGGCTCATTTCCACCGTTCGCGAAATGAGCCCATCAAGGAAGCCGGTCGAACGGCAAACGGAGCACGTGATCAAGTCAGTCCGAAACCTATGTCGGAGTTAGCACATATATGCGCTGAAATAGGGGAGATCGTTTAGCCAGCAAACGAGAACACAATGTATGCGTGTGCGGGTTATTTGAATCTATGAATGGCCCTGAAATGTAATCAAAATCCTCCAGGAAGTCACACATCTCATATTTCAGTAATTCGGCCTGTCTGTAGTAATAGAGTAGATTAGACGAAATACATTACAAGGTTTTCCTATGTCTCCTTAGTAAATCCTGCGTGGAACCACGAGAGTGACGCCGACGTCACAGCCGGTTGTAAAGTACACTCGTCTTCGGCAGACGGAGAGATTTATTTCAATTCCACTCAGTTTATGACACGTCTGTGTAGCGGACAGTTCCGTGCGGAAAATTCTCTGTGGGGCCCGGGCGTTTACTGGAGGCTGACTTATTTATCTCACATGACAGTGTTTATTTTGCGAAGATGTGTATTGCGATCGTATCATGACGGATTAGCCAATCTGTCCCGGAGTGACCCCAGTTTGTTTGGCTACACGTGATTGACCCCGAAATATATAGTAATGCAGACTGGCATCAGTCAAGTGTCGCAAGCTATGTTTATGCGCAGTTCCGATTTGTTCGACGTGGCACGAGTCTCAGAGTATCTACAAAAATTGTACGCCAAAATATCACCGTGTGGATATGTTGCAGCTCTCCATATGCTGCTTTGCACCCACCGGATATTGAAGTATTTTATGTATGACTGTTCAAACTCCCACAACAGTGCTCCATATTTCACCTCGATTAATTACATAGGTTCGACCATTTTACACACCCGTATCGGTCCGGTGCTTACTTAATGTTCTCCTCACCTAAATCGATAGTCTTAAACTGTCAGGTTTGCCTACCACCCAGTGTCGCTTTCTCTGTACAAAACAAACTGAAGTGCGCCCATGGTGTCTCACACGCCAATTGAGCGTAAAAGTGCATGAGACTTCATGCGGCTGCCTCCGAATGCCTTGTACGTGGATATAGAATGAAGGTGCTGCATGACATATTAGCTGAACCTCCCGCGCTCGGGACATAAACATCTTCTCATGGCTTAGCCTTTTTCTGGTTGTGCTAAATCCCGTGACCGGATTCCGGAACATCCGGAATGCTCCCGAACATAGCTACACCATTTGATCCACTGACTGAGCTGAATGACTTACATGGACAGACTTCAAAATCTGATGTAATTCGGACATCAAATCGTAGCAAAATGGGCAGCGTTTCTGCCTTCTAGCATACCCGTGATAAGCCTTGTATGGAACCCCTAAATACCACTGTTGAGTAGATGTTCAGATAGTCAGCTTCGCCGCAAAACTCCCGGTGAACTATCGGGTTCGGCGGATGGTCGTATTGTAGTGAATCACAAAATACATGGGCAGACAAGTTCACGTGACCAGTCCTCTCACTGATATTGCACATGTTCATTGGTGGCTATGCTAAGGTTGACACAAACGAGACACGCACAGAGTCATCTCACTTCGCTTGACATCCTGTGGATTTGCGTTAGTCTGGATGGGTCAGATGCACGGTACTGTGTGGTGCTTTGGTTTAGATTTACTGTACGATGTTAAAAGAAGAGCCGATTTCGTAGAACGACTACTGAAGTAAGTCCACTTTATTTAAAATATCAGCACAACCGTATGTCTATTCGCATTTTGCACCAACCAGTGTCATCTAGAACCAGTTCTTGCACTGTGTTAGGTTTTCAGTCTTCAAATTCGCCCAATCCTTTTCGGATATGGCACTGGCAGTTGTATACGGCGCCCTACTGAGTGTCATGTAGGAACATGGCAACAAAAGTTTCCAAAAAAAACCTAAACATTCTCCAGTCGATGCATTCAAATGCAATTTTATACTTTTATTACTTTCGGGCATTATTTCTGGACAGCCATTTTCTGCAACTTAGCCCATACTTTTAACCACCGACAATATCACTGGAGCAGGCGTTTTGGAACTGACGCTGACGCATTTTAGGTTGGTCGTTGTTCACCCTAACATTCCAAAGTCTCATCATCTTTCAAGTCCGGTGGATGCTAGGCGAGCCTAGCAATTAGTTTGCAAACCTTTCGTCGTTTCAAGTCCGGTGGATGACCAAATGGTCATTTATCAACTAGGCCAGCCTAGCAATTAGTTTGCAACCCTTTCGTCCCTCGTCGAGGAGACATCGTCGGTGTGCATTTGTCTGGGTGCTTTTTCCGCGCATATCTGCGTCTCTCTAATGTTTGGAAAGTCTGATTTCCTCTCTGTAGTGACGCGCAAAATCACAAACCAAAGATTGTGGATTCTTGAGGTTTACTGGGTCCACTTACCCACGGCTTCGGGCCTAAGCCAAGTCAGTTATCACGCAGCGGACTTAGGTGGACTACATATTGGGAATCCGTATTTTGTGTTCACCGATGATTACATGATTATCTAAATCAGTTGGCCGCCGCTGAAAGCCTTAAACGCCAAAAAGTTCGCGCTACTCATGAGTAGGCAAAGGCATGGGGCAATATAAAGCAAAATACACCGAAATCGACGCGACAGTGCACTGATGGACATCTGCGCCATTCCGAATCAGCTTGTCAAGTAGAACATAAGGTTGACGGAAACTCGGGAACTGCGCCTACCTGGTGAGCCCCAAGAAGGGCGAAATTGGTCGTGGGCTGTCGAAGAGTTTTCAGCAACCTTGTGAGTGGTTCCCTTATTATTTAGGTTAACACGTGCGACACCAGCTCCCGATAAGATGTAAACATCCATTACAGCTAAAATCAGCGTAGAAGCGCACGAAGGAAATTTCGATGAAAAAAAAAGAATGCCGATGTGGCATTGGGCTTTGTCTTTCATCCCTTCGAACCCACGGATTTTCGCTTTACTGCTACGAAAGTCCTCACAGAAGACAATGATTCCTAATCACGCACAGACCTTGGAAATAGGTGTCCTCTTTTTCAAAGCATCTTCCAATGAAATGAAGTTAAGTGCAATCCTCATAACTTCTAAGGGAACTGGTCCATGTCAGTGGCCTCAGACTGTCCCCACTCAATCAACTAGTGAACGTAAGACGGGTCGACCGCTGACGACATCGTGAACGCACAATGGTGTGTTTAGACTGGGCCAAGAAGAAATAATTCACCACGATATTCCCAAACGCGAGGGTGTCAGATGTGGAACATCATATGGTATGAAAACCACGGCGGACAGACCTACAAGCCCTACAAGCTAGCTAACTGAAAATTCTTTTTGATCACTACATAAACTGCTCTCTTCGTTTATTTTGGCAATATGGTGAATAATCGCGTAAGGATGTTGGCTCCCAAACGCATGAGGACATTCATAAAATATGCGCAGGATCGCTGGCTGACTTCAGAAACTGGAGCTTCAAATGAATGTCTGCACTATTACTTTCCTCAAGTCCTCTTTGACCCTTTGCTTGCACTGGTAAGATCAGTGCGGCGACACGTAAAAGTTGTACTTAATTCCACAGGCATTCCCACTTTTTACTTGGACTCAAGCAGGGATTCTCCTCTAAGAGTTACTTCCACAGTAGGAACAAAACTCATTCAACCCTGCGGCAATTCCTCTGTGAATTCCGCTTGTCCTTTTTGCGGGCGGCTCCCAGATCGCACGCATACGAATGAGTATATAATGTAAGCGAAAATTGCTCGTGTTAGTAGGGTCTTCAGGTGGCCATCCTTAGAAGAATCTTTGGATACAGGCGAGCATGGGACTATGGAGTTCTTATATACAGGGACTCTTGAAGGTACAGGTTCTCCAATCCCCCACAATGTGTGTTTGGTATGATAGTCTCATAGTTCAGTAAGAGGTCTATGAGAAGACTCGTCAACTGTCATATCGAGAACAGTTGAACCCTTTCCGATAAATCAATCTAACGGAGATTTCATGGAATGTGTAGACATGTCACTGTTCATTCGACTACAGGTGAAGAACAGGATAATATCAAAGTGGCAAGAATAACGAATGGAAACGTGTGGGACAGTTCATTAACAACGGGTAGCCCCAAGTGTCCCTTACGTTCGTGATTAGGTCCTAAATCTGGGATAAACTGATGTACTTATCTTAATAGAGAAATTGATACAAGGCTCTTGATGAAACTGTCAGGAGTAGAAGGCCACAATACAGATACTATCAAAAGCGATACACTCGTGTAAAACGTGTGTAAAACGTGGTTCCCCAGGCATGTCTTATTTATATGAAATTCGCACGTACGATTTTCGCATCAGCGAACTGATCATGTGAGCTTGAGAGAACAGATTCACACATCTCTTTCCGAGGTGACTTCATGGGGGAGAGCACGATCTTGTTAAATTAATCAAAATCATTCCTTGAATCTACGAAACACGTGTGTGAATTTTTTCCCATAGCAACGGTGTAGATTTTATACGATAAACAATGTCTACACTGGTTGTCTACCTTTGTATATTGTAAGAACACTGATGTATTTATCGCACGGGCGTTAGGTGAGGTAAACATGCAACAAGGTCTGCAATACTTTCGTGTTACTCCTTAGCACCAGAGGATTGTTGTAGGTGATATGCTAACAAACCATCTCATGTTGACTAGATGGCACCCTTTTGCAAAAAGATGAAAGTAGTATCGTAAAGGTACTAGCCCCGCTCCCAATGCTTTAGAGGTATGCTTATCTTATCTGACTGCCAACCTGAAATTTCGCCGAGCGATGGAGACGAACGATCTTTTATTGACAAATGGCAAATAAGTTGACGCGATACCGTTTACCTATTTTTATCTTTGCTCGAATCAGAAACCATTTATTATTCAGTGACTACGACTGCTCATATAGCGAACGTGCATACCCCCGCGGAGTAGTCACGCAGTGACTGCAGAGATGATACTCGTACTTTCACGCAGTGACTGCAGAGATGATACTCGTGATGATACTTGTGATGCCTTTGTGTACTGACTCCAAGCACTGAGTAATCCTTTATCGGATAATCTTGGTTTGTCAAATATTCTGAACTTGCCGAGCGCAGATAAGACCGGTCTTGACTGAATATTTGTCCACGGGCAGTTTGTGTACGCGTGTAGAACTCAGGCAATGTTACCGACATCTGAGAATCAGACGAACCGGGAGTCTGCTGGGCATTTTCTCAAAGAGTGGCAACACAAATGTAATACGTACCAAGAAAGGCAACATTCGATGGCCATGTAAGTGAAAATGTTTCCCAGTGATAGCTGAGACCTGAGATTTCGGTGTTTTGACGATGCACCGGGTAAACCTTGTACTGGTCAGTGCAAATTCTGTTGACCAGCTGAGATATTTTGCATGTCACGTGCTCGTAGAATTGATTTAGCAGAATGAGGAGGGGGCGAAAAATTCATTTTGTGTCCTAACTTTCTCGTTTGATTACTGCTTACGCAGGTTTCACACTACAGCCAAGCGGCATAAACAGCTGAAAAGTGATCAAAACTCTATTGGTTTAGTGAACACAGAAGAGAACTCACATGGCGAATATCGATCTGGTGAATCATTGCTCGCGCCTACAGACGGCAATATTGGAATTTTAGATGCATACGTTCGTGTAAGTATGCAAAGTTCCGTTGTGTGTGTAAAGCCAGCCGAACAATCCTTGTGCGTCTAATTGCACGCGATATAACTGTTCACCGTATTTGGTCCGTCATAGGAAACCAGTAATGTCGAATTTTCAGATAGAAATGGCGCCCTCTCTCATCTAGATTTATCCTGTATCTGGCAAACCAAAAGTAACGCAGAGTGAAATCTCTGCATTGCAGAATGTTCTCTATCAGTACAGTGGGCCTGTCCTCTGAAGGGTGCGTGCTGTATTGTAAATCTGGACTCCAAACTCGAGTAGATGTACTTTAAAGTGGCATAACTCTGTCTCAGACCTTGTTTTATGGATGACCTAGAGAAAACTGAACGGGTGCTGTTAGGTTTGAGGGACAATTCAAAGCATGTTGCCGTCAGAAACTCAGCAGATTTGTACCTCCATTTAACTATCTGAATTGTACGCACTGAGACAATTCTCCATTTTTCTTCTTCAATTGTAAAGTTTCTTCATATACGAATACATCTTACTGCAACTACACAGATCGTTTTGCCGCTCTACTCGGCTGTTACGCTAATTCTCTGTCACTTTAAGGCTTACTCAGCTCTGCTGTCTCAGCTACTCCATTGTTTCTAATGTTTCAAGGGCCTCATTTCTATTCCTAACCGGTTACAAAAAAGTTGATAGCAGGTTGTCGCGCCGTGTGAATGGCTGTGCAATTTTTTAGCTTGCCACAGATTACAGTCAATCTTCCGAATATAGGGCACTCGCGCGCGCAGAGGTTTGTAGGCGTTCATTCCAGTGTCTTTGAAGTTCTCATAAAATCCTGGGCGAATCGGGAAAAAATAGTCCTTGCATCGGCGTGTTCAGTGTGGTTTTGCTCCACTGAGCATGACTTTCTGCGTCCTAGTGGCGCCTTAAGATAAAAAATTTGGGAATCAAAGACCATTCACGTAATCGTTTGCTTATGAGTATCACCTGTGGCACTGTCTGCGCTCGTCCGGTACTTTGTGGGGATAAAATTTCCTTCTCATCAGAAGAAAGAATTCGAGCAGTAAAAATGGTGACGCCAACTCAAGAATGACTGCGAAAAAACAAAACGAAGGTTCAAAAATGTGTGGGACCTACAATAGTTAACAGTCAGTCGAGGAGTTCACACATGTTGATTCGTGAACACACAAAGTGGGTTCAAGAAAGTAAGGGTAGATATACTCTTCAGGTTTACCGAGACGAGAGAAAATACGCGAGCAAATTGTTCTTGGATGTCGACGCCTGTGCGGATGAAGGCCTGGACTCGAAAGAAAAAGGTAAACTGACTCCAGAATGGCTTTTGAAAGAGTGACACTGACAGATAACATGGGCGTTAAAGTGTTTAAGACACAAAAGCTGATTGAGAAATGCCTTTTATGCCCAATGCATTTAGCTAATCACGTGAGAAAATGCCTTTTATGCCCAATGCATTTAGCTGATCATACAATCGTACAAGTAGGACACAAACTTTTTATCTTTACCACCCGTCAGAAACAAAGGGGAACGATATTGCCACTGGAAAAGTTACGAAAATAGGAGAATTTTATGTACAAGTCCGAGTGAATATGGGAATTTCTCATTATCCAGTCAACTACACTTCTAACATGAAGTGGGAATAGTCGACTATGAAAAAAAGCATCCAGGCTAAGGATGAGATGATCTCAGTTCGCAGATGTGGGGACCTCAATTGGGGGCACCGCGCCGGTGTCCATCAATTAGGAATCAACGCGAAGAAGGAAACAATGTGAGCCGGAGAATAATGAGGACTACGGTATTTCCGTTTCGATGTAGAAACGCTGACCACAGTGCGTTATTAAAAATCCGGCTATCAGTTAAACAGGGGTACTATCGTGTAACACACGTTTTAAGAACTCATCGATTTGGCATCCGCACATGCATGTATAAAACCATCAGTCCAACCTGAGCGCAGAAGTCAAACGGGTTTTGAATAGAGTTAGCACCCTCCCCTGCTGGAGAGGTCAGATGAAGTTGTTGACCTTGTTCTATATTTTTAGATAAGCACTAATGTAATAAAAAGTATCTTCTTCCGACCAACTAATCGGAGTCTTATACAGATGGAATTAATAGTGAACAGCCGCTTCAATACATTCGTGTCTTTATACGGTTAGTCAGCTAGTAGCTTGATTTCATGATGTAAGCAATGTTGCCGGCTCATTCCACCACCTGATCGATTGAATTTCTGCTCTACAATGAACATTCTTTAAGCCAAAGACTCAGATTCTCTCATACAGGTCAATATTTCCGGCGCTTATCGCAGTCGAATGAACAGGCTTGAGATGAATGAAGTATCACAGTTAACTAACTCTCCCAGGGTAGCTAGTGACGATCAAAGGGATTCACTACATTCCTTGTTTGTTTGCGTGCAGGAATGTCCCAAGGAATCAGGTCTAGCAAAAAAAGAGTATAAAGAGAGTAACTGGAAATATGCACCACTTTAGAGCCGTTTTTATCCGTGTTGAACACCATCAGCAGTGTCAGTTTTGGGATTCTAGCAGTCGCACACAAGGTCAAGACTGGGCCACATGCTGCTGATTGCAGTGCGATCAACCCAGACAAATATCGATAAAGATTCGCTGGAGTCAGCCAGGCCTTACAGTATGTAGTAACTCCAATCGAAGGGGAAAATCTCGATCGAAAAATCAATATCTCCATATAATATCAAGAAAGCCAAAACTGCTTGGTGTAACCATGTTACCGGTAGTCTTCAGAACTGAATAAGAGGTATCAAACAAACCCGAAAAGCTCTGTTGAATCCAGGGCCTGAAGACAACACCTTGGGACCTTAGTTATCTGTGCTTCAATCATGGTGTGACCAGCCTTTACTACTCGCATGCCTCATCAGCAGTATCCACCGTTACACTGGTATTGGTTCGGTAAAGCTGTTCACAAGGGATGACGTACAATCGAGTTATCTGCAGCTGTTGTTCGTGAGGCAAGACCAAGTCTTGTACTTGATCCATGGAGCTGAAAATAGGACCAGCAGCAAAAGAATTTTCTACGCTCTCCTATTCAAAGTGTCTGAGCCAAAACCGTCGGTGAGAACTTTTTCTGACTATCTGGGCATGGGGCTGTGCGACACGTGATATACAGCTTCCTGGACCGCAAAATGAGATACCATATACACAAAAAACTTGGAGACATGTTCCTCACCAATTGTCATTGTACTTTCACCGCAGAAACCAGAAACTCTTTCACAATTCGAGCTGGCAGAAGTGTTCAAATAAAGCCAACAGGAAGGATAGGATTCTCCCCAAGGTTCCTGACTTCAGAAATGACTATTTCACTGTGTCGGCTGTTCAATATTGTCTCGGAAAAAAGCCCCACTTGCATATGTTCAATAATTACCGGAATACCTCTCATGCATAACAGTTGTCAAACTCACCAAAACCCTATCACACTTCAGGGACCACGGTTTCATTGGGAGTACTAGAAAGGTCGCCCATAGGCATTTTTGAGTGTCTTTTTAGCATTGCAAAACAGATGCAGATTCATCGTGAGTAAACTGTAGCAAAACTTCTGTCTGCTTGTGTGATGTGCTCCACCCGGCCGTTTCTTTCACTATTTGTAGTCACTCTCTACCTTAACCCTTTGAAACTTGATGAAAAAGCAATATCCACTGGTGTCCAGCAGTCGACACAGGACGGAAATGCTGTAGGTCAATGAACACACGCCAACACGAATCCCACCCGACTACATCGAAACTGTGTTCACAGTTTTACCATACAGACTACCTGGTCCGCCAATATCAACACCTGCCCACCAGTTCGAGTTAAAAATCCTTAATAAATTTTTAAATTATTAAATTAATAGATAATAATTGTTGAATAAATTAAGACGGTACGAAAACGTTTACTCAATCTACATCAAATACGTTGGCAGCTGAAACCCATATCATTCAGACAAGGGCGGTTCATCAGCACTGTGATTAACCCGCAGTTGGACAGTCTGTCGCTCCATTCGTTCTTCAATCAGCTGTTCAAATCACGTGATCAAGTGCTGGCTGACTTCTCCAGTGGCATCTGAGCAACAAAAGGCTCACGCGGCTTGTGGGTTTTTTCCTTCCTGAATAGGTTTCTTCCTAGCTTCCCACTTCAATTGATATTTCATCCTGCAAGTGTGCTCAATCTATGCTGAAAAGCTGCTACATTCGTCTTGATAGTTGTCAGCGCTGCGCACATCATGAATACTTGGAGCATCTGGTCCGCCAGTCATGGATGAATGTTACAGAGGTAACGAGCTAACCCGAATGCTCAAGGTTGGAGTCTTTCTAGAACTTTGATAGATGCGCGTTTCTGTTCGTGATTTCCAACAAAAACGGTAATGTCTTTACATTCAAATCGATACTAACTAATATGTACACATACTAGAGCAGTAGCTCTCAGCAAACTGACCAGGATATTCCAAACGTCACCGGTTGTATGAGCTGACTGGGACGTGTACGAAACTGCCGCGACTTTTGAGATGCAGTTCACCTCAAAAACACTGCCCCTCTCAGGGCTAAAGGTAAAAAAACAACTATATTGACGCATCTGAAGAAACTGCAGAACGTGAACAGGATAGAACACTTTCACATTTGTTCCCCAGGCAAAAACTTGAATGTGTCACACAAAGTACGAAAATTACGCACGGCAGGTACGCTGAAGACCCACAAGCAAACTGTCCTTGATGCCTTTCAGTTCAGTATACAAAGGCTATTTGAGCCTAATTTAGAGTAACTGTAACCCTGTCTTTAAAAAGGATATAGCCAGAGGAAACATATTTACAATTCAATCCATCAGTTCTTGGCGTTTCAATTTTACAGAAATTTACAACGCGGCGCTCTCTTCTCTTATTTGACTAACAGAATAAGCATGTAAAGTACAAAATGGAATCATCTATTAAACTGTACTCTGCTGCAACGTAAGGAACGCAGGACGAATTCGGTCAAACCAGGCAGGGTAACGGGCTCGGCGAACATATCAACGGCCACCTGGTCAAACACCACCGAATGCACCCGAGCTACAAATATCCCACCACACATGTATACGGGATCTACATAACACGTTAAGTTTGCATTTTAAGTTCAGGAATATGGTCTACTGCTACAAAAATCTCCCCGTCGGCTGACATTCGAGGCCCATACTGGGTAATGTCCGCTTCTTTGCGATTTGTCTACTGTGGTGCATGTATGCTACCAACCGTTATAAGTAGTTAACACTTGACGAACCCCCTAGACTCATTTGAAAGCGCTCAGAAGTATTTATCGAACGACAGACAGCTTGTGGAGTTTCGAGTGTGATCTTGTCAGTCCATTGTTGGATTGTGTTGAGGACTGGATCGACGAGCCTGCGTTTGCTCTCCTCAGACTTATGTTCTTATTGTTTTACCTGTTATTATAGAGCATGCAACGCCAAGACAGTCGACTATCGAGAAACGATTCACCCAACACAATAAAAAACACCTCAAAGCGACCGACTTAACTCATCGGTTTCCGTATGTACGTTTCGGTTCACGAAATTGTAACTGTTGTTCTCAGCACAAGCGGCGACATTCCGACCCTCGTGACCTTAACGCGCGTGTGCATCAATGATTCGATCTAATCTCAGCCAGACTAAACTGGTGCCGCCTGAAAAAAACTGCAACAGAACGACTACCAAGTCGTATCATGTAGGTCCTTCAGGACTGTTAGAACAAGGGATCCCTTGTAAAATGGCCACCGTACTTGGAACGGACTGTGTTTTAGGTCGATCGGGCGAACGTACCAGCTGTGTGCCTGAAACCGTGCGATCAGTGATGCAACCCATATGTGCAGTACACAGTATGTCAGGTCAAACACCTTTGACTTTGGTTTGTGACAGCGCAAATTGGATGATGCAACGTTTTGGTGTAAGTTATGATAAACAGGAGGGTTTGATTACCCCACGATTGTTATGCCTCAGACTAGCACACAGGCTTAGAATTGAACTTCCATGGCACGTGTATGAGAATAGGTTGTTTGGCTTGTATGGAGAGATGTGTACTTGATTTTCGTTATGCTTGGGATTGCTTAAGCATCCTAATAATTGCTAGCAGTGTAGCACTGTGCTTTCTACAGGTGGGACATAGTCCATAGGCTACTGTGTCAATATTTCGTGACAAGCATGCACTCAGCGAGGCCCAACCAGTAGGACCAAATGGTTGTCCCTAGGATGACCTAGGATGTCATGTGGGGATTGATCAGAAAACTCACCGCAGACTCAGTCCACCAAGTCTAAGATATTCCAGTTTACTATGCGAACCAGTTTGAGTAGGCCGGTGACCAACAAGACTACA